ATCCCAGATCTGATCCTTGGGATAACCCATGCATCCGTAACCCCCACATATTCTGGAAATGCAGCTTGGCCAGTATCCATGCCAGAGTACTGGTCAATCTCTCTCTGGCCTTCAGATTCCCTGCAAGGAGGAGGACCCTGGACCATGGACCCCTTAGCCATTTTCAAGCCCAAGTCCGACACCAGTCATCTAAGGGAACATCTAAATCACAGGGAACACACTTCACATTTCTCCAAGGACCCCTTGAAACCCCTTTTCACCAGACTGTGACTAGACCAGGGTCAGCATTGTAAATATGACGACTTTAGATATGTCAGGCTTTGTGAGTTAGAAAGTCTCCACTACTCTACTGTAATGCCAAAGCAGCAGACACACTATGTAAATAAAGGGGTGTGACTATACCCAACAGCATTGTTTGTAGCCACTGTAATCTGAATCCGAGTTGATTTTCATGCCCTGAAATGTTTTTCAATCCCCCACACCCCCTACTCTAGCCATTAAAAAATGCAAAAACCATTCTGAGCTCACAGAACAAACTCAGAAAGTTTTTTTTTTTTTGATCTCTTTTTCCTTCTGCAACCATGGCTGTTATAGCAAAGCTGTAGGCCATCAGATAGATATTAAGTGGGTCAACCCAGATGCTGCATCAGGCAATGCGTCTCCACCCTTCCCTCCAAAAGGAAAATGAGGGGAGTCACACTCGGGACCGCTTTACTGATCTAGTTGTATAATTCCACATGGTAATTTGGCCTCTTTGGGTACCCTTAAAGGAGGGACATGGGGAAGTGGGACTGGACATGGGCTGGGTATAAAAGATGATCTGTCAAGAGAAATGGGTCAGGGCTGGGAACGTGGCTCAGTGGTAGAGAGCTTGCCTAGCAACACGAGGCCCTGAGTTCGATCCCCGGCTAACTAAATAAATAAATAGAGTTGGATCGATTGATCGTACACATCATCCCTCAGTGTCCACACAGGATTGAGTCCAGGACACTCGCAGACACCAAAACCGTCAGATGTGCAAGACCTTTATATAAAGGGACTTAGTATTGGCATATAAACTGGACCCACCCTCCCATACATTTCTAGTCATCTCCGTATGACTTATAATACCTCAGATGATGTAAATGCTATGAAAAACTATCTTTTAGATAATTATGACAAAAGTCCATACTTTTGTTCAGCATAGGGCAACTTCTCCTTGCAAATATTTTTCATCAGCAGTTGGTTGACCAGGCAGAGGAGGAACCCACAGGGATAGAGGGCTGACTGTTGGCGGGTTTGCCTTACTGTTTTGAATCTGTCATATCAACACACCTCGATTGAAACTGAGAGAGAGCTCTGTTCTAACAGGCAGTTCACGCCTGTAATCTCAGAGGCTCAGGAGGCTGAGGCAGGAGGATTTCGAGTTCGAAGCCAGCCTCAGCAACTTGGTAAGGCCCTAAGCAACTCAGGGAGACCCTGTCTCTAAATAAAATACAAAAAGGGCTGGGGATGGGGCTCAGTGGTTAAGTACCCCTGGTTCAATCCCTAGTACCAAAAAATGAAAATAAAATCCTGTTGCAGTATCTATGACTCTTTGTTGCTGCCTAGAAACTATGGGTAGTCCTTGCTTTAGGTCCCTGAGGTGCTCGGGAAGAAGCAAAAGTTATTCTGTTTACCTACCTTGGCTTGGGTCTTTCTGTCCCAGAGGTATAACCAAGGTGAGAGCCAGGGTCACTTTTCCCCTGCTGACAATGCAGTCTTTCTTAGGAATGTTAGCTTTGGGGAATACTGTGACATCTTTCAAGTTCAGACTTTATCCACTGGAACAGAATCTGGCACTGGGCTCAACTGTCATCACTATGAAGGAGCCAAGATATTTCAACCCCACGGAGCCATTTGCTCCTTTCCCAACAAGGTGGCTTTAAGTCTCTGAAAGGAGCTCTAGTTGTTGTCCTGTGGAAGCCATTTTTGCCAAGTGGACTATTTCAACCAACCTTCTTTCAGCTTTGATGATACTTTTAACTTCGGCAGAGGCCATATAATTTACACTTAAGGAAAGCTTGGCTTTGAAAGAAAATGATCAGGTCTGGATTTTTTGGGTTTTTTTAATCTCTTTTTCCTTCTGCAGCCATGGCTGTGCTATAGCAAAGCTATAGGCCATCAGATAGATATTAAGTGGGTCATATCCAGGGAGGAATTTCTGAGCCACATTTTCATGGGAAGACCCAAGACTTCAGAGTCACATACAATCTGTCTTCTGACAACTTCAAAGCATGGTGGAAACATGAACTCATTCACTTGGTCCATATCTCAGAGTCAGGAGAGGTCAGAAATAATCTCTCTTCCGTTTTCCAGGTGATAGAAAAAGCCCAGAGAGGTTTTTGACTGAATAAGAGCACACAGCAGATGAGGAGGACTCCTTAAACACAGCTTCATTTTCTTGCTTACACACTCTTTTGCTGATGGGATGGTGGATGTTCCTGAAAACAGGGCCATAGAACAAGGTTACACAGAAAAATTAACTTTATAATCCTATGGAAATGCATTGACATTTCAAGCCAATAATACAGTGTGCAGCACTTAGATTAGAATCAGGAGTTTCCAATTCAGAGAGACCACAGCAATCAAAAATTTTTGCTCTGGCGGGTGCAGTGGCATACTCCTATAATACCAGGGTCTCGGGAGGCTGAGGCAGGAGGATCACAAGTGTAAAGCCAGACTCTTAACAGCGAGGCCCTAAGAAACTCAGCAAGACCCTGTCTCTAAATAAAAAATATAAAAGGCTGGGGATGTGGCTCAGTGGGTAAGCACCCCTGGGTTCAATCCCCAGTAAAAAAAGAAAAAAAAAATTGGTTAATTCATTTCTCATTGGGAAAAATGAGGCTAAGAAGGGAAGAAAGATGTTCCCATGTTATCCCACTCATGGTGACCGTCTCTGACACTTTTTGACCTTTCCATTGGACTCAGTGGGGCAAATACACCCCCTCCCCAGTCTTTTAGTAGCAGACATCAATAATGGATTAGGTGAATCTTTTCCACCAAGCCCAGCCACAGGTCTTTCTTAATATAGCACCCCAGGCAGCCACAAGTCATTTCTGCATTGACAGTAGAAACAGAACCTGTTTGTACCCACTGTAGTAAAAGGTTGTCCATGATTTTGAAAGCTACTACTTACAGATGGGCACACACTATGTCCCAGGCATAGGACATGCTCTATTTAGTTGCAGCCTCTGACAATCCTATGATGTTGGCAGTGTTACAGATTAGGAAATGCAAATTAAGAGAGATTATATAAGTCCCTCAAGGCCACATGGCAGGATGGTAGCAGAACAAAGACTTGAACCTAATTCTTAAAAAGTATTCATATAGGCTGGATGCAATGGCCCATGTCTGTAATCCCAGCAGCTTGGGAGGCTGAGGCAGGAGGATAGTGAGTTCAAAGCCAGCCTCAGCAACTTAGTGAGACCCTAAGCAACTCAGTGAGACCCTGTCTCTAAATAAAATACAAAATAGGGCTGAAGGGTGTGGCTCAGTGGTTAAGTGCCCCTGGGTTTAAAACCTGGTACCAAAAAAAAAAAAAAGAATTCATAAACACAAATGTACATACAAATGTGAATTTATTTAAAGTTTCTCTGTGCATTTTGAATACAGTTTGGGGTTTGGTTTCTTTTTTGTTTGTTTGTTTGTTTGTACCAGGGATTGAACCCAGGGGCACTTAACCACGGAGCCACATCTCCAGCCTGCTTTTTTTTTACTTTGAGATAGGGACTCACTAGGTTGCTTACAGTCTCGCTGAGTTCCCGAGGCTGGCTTCAAACTTGTGATCCTTGGGCTTCAGCCTCCCAAGCCGCTGGGATTACAGGCGAGCAAGACTGTGCCCACTTGAATACAGCTGAACACAGTTTTGATATCATCTTCATCCCAATTTTTCCTCTTTGATGATCTTGACTCTGGATAGGCAGTTTTCTATTTCCTGACTGATTTAACAATACGATCAGATGCTCCAAGTTCACTGAATTTGAAAGTCAAAGCCATTCTGCCTTTGTCATCTCACCTCAGTGGTAATTTGCTGGAGGCATACATAGCAAATAACCCACCTGTTGTATGTGCTTTGTGGAGGCCTCCCATGTGCCCAGCCCCACCCCATCTACTTGCAAACCCTTGTACAACTTCTGCTGCTCTCCTGTCCTCAAAGAAGCATGAACCAGTGCGGCCCTGCTGGGTCTGGCATTTCACACATAGCTGGGGCCAAGCCAAAATAACCTATTCCAGCATTTTCTAGCAATTCACCAGCAAAAAAAAAAAAAAAAAGAGAGAGAGAGAGAGAGAGAAGGGCTTGGTAGCAATTTTCAGTTGTATGTAAATGTCACCAGGGTAGTCCAAGAGACCAGCTATCATTTCTAGAAAATTTTGCTAAAACAAAAAGGAAAAAAGACCAGGAGAAGTGAGAGTTATACTGAATGGTATTTTAGCAGGGTCTGCATTCATTAATAATTCACTCAAGTGCGGAGGATAAAGGTCAAGGAAGACTGCAACAAAATGCCCTTCCTGCTGTCATGTATAACTAATTAGAACAAATATATGTGTGTGTGTATATATATATATATATATATATATATATATATAGAGAGAGAGAGAGAGAGAGAGATATGAAAATGCCCTTTTCTGGGTACAATAATAATCTGGGGAGGCTGGGTGCAGTGGCACATGCCTATAATACCAGCAGCTCAAGGAGGCTGAGATGGGAGGATTGTGAGTTCCAAGCTGGCCTTAGCAAAAGCAAGTTGATAAGTAACTCAGAGAAACCCTGTCTCTAAATAAAATAAAAAATAGGGCTGGGGATGGGGCTCCGTGGCTGAGTGCCCCCAGAGTTCATACCCCAGTACTCCCTCCAAAAAAATCAAGAAATAATCTGAGAGGTGACTGAGCCTCAGTAAATGCGGCCAGCCTCTGGAGATCCAGCGCAGCTCTAAGATTAAAACCTGGGGATCCCCTTGGATGCCTGATGACATTAGCAGATGGCTTTAAGGTCTACTTCCCGACAGTAGGAACCCAAGTTTATACACTCTCAGTTCCACTCTCTAGTTTCTATTTGTAAGTGAAGGAAAATCTTTGGCCCCAAACCATCCTCTTGAAAAGTAAACGACATTTATCTTCCTGGTAAAGAAGATGAAAACAAACACCCTTAGTGTTTGCATATCGAAAACCAAGAGTCAGCCTTCTGGTAGAGCCAAATACTCGGCTGGTTTCTGGATGGCCTGTTGCTTCAGATTCCCAGATGTACCTGTTCCTTAGATAACTGAGAACAGGCCCCCCCAAGGGTGGTAGCTGTGACTGCTTTCTCTGCCAGCGTAAGTCACAAGCTGCTGAGAAGAACTCACCCCTATCCCAAGGCCCAGGCCTTATCAGTAGACAGTTTATTCTGCACCTAGTTAGTCCTGTGAGGTATTTAATGTAAACTCTGCATTATTCAAACCTTGTGTGGTGCTTGGAAACACAGCTGCCCCTCCTGGTGTCTTGTTGAGGTTCCCTTGTTTGGTCTCCATCAAAACCATGTAGCAGTGGTGTGTTGGGGAGAAAAGGTAAACAGTCCCTGGCTTCATAATTCCCCTACAGCTGTGTTTGTCAGCATGGGTCGGGTGGCTAAGTGGTCAGATGCCATTAGAGAGGGTGTGGTTCGGTGAAGTGGCTGCCATCTCTTGAGAAGGACTGGTACCTAGGAGGGAGAGGGATCCCTCCTTTCTGCCTTCCATGACTTTGGATGGAGATACTGGGTGAGTCAGAGGACATGCCACACACCTGCAGAGGACATGCCAGACACCTGCAGTGTGGCTTTCAAAACAGACTTGGGTATACACCTGCATGTAATTTATATGCCTTCTCCTCTACCTGCTTCTTCCATCCTATCTTTCCACCCATACCCTAACACCCTTCCCACCCCCTCATAGCCTTCCCAAACCCTAGATATTGGAGTGCTGTTCTTGTGGGCAGTGATCCTATCTGTATCCACCATCACTGTGTCAGGGGTAGGGTATGAGTTGAATAATAACTATTGATTTAAATTCAGTCCACAATCCACTTCTCTTCCATTCCTTTCCATTCTCATCTGATGAACTATTCATGTCAGCCACCTGTCTTCTACTACCTGCCTCCTAACTCATAACATGAGGTAATGTTGTGAGTTAAGGTATTTGATTCTAGCCAGGTTTAGGGGCCCACACCTGTAATCCCAGTGGCTTCGGAGACTGAGGCAGGAGGATCACAAGTTTGAGGCCAGCCTCAGCAATTTATAGAGGCCCTAAGTAACTCAGTGAGACCCTGTCTATAAATAGAAAATAAATAGGGTTGAGGATGTGGCTCCATGGTTAAGTGCTCATGAGTTCAATCCTTGGTACCAAAAAAAAAAAAAAAAAAAAAAGCTATATGATTCTTGGAATAGAATTCTAATAGCCAGACATGGGGCTGAGCCCTTCCTGTGTGTGATCTGATAGGATGGCTCTTTTTCAAGATTCACCCAGATCATAGCAGGAGATTCGGGAGATGAACTTTTGCACAACTCACTTCCTCCTAAGAGTCCTTGAGTCTGTAGAACAACACAGCCATTATTTTAAGATTCTATTTTATTCTATAGCATGCAACAAAGTCCTGGCTACACCTCTCCTTAGATCCTTATATAGAGAGAAATGCAGAAAGAGGAAAGTTGTCTTAAGCTGTTTCAGCTGCTATAACAAAAATATCATAAATTGTAGAATTTACAAATGATAGAAATGTGTATTCATGGTTCACAGTTGTGGAGATTAGGGGATTCAAGATTAAGGTGCCAGCAGGTCTGGTGACTGGCAAGGGCTCAGTTCCTTACAGATGCTACCTTCTGTATGTCCTCGTGTGACAGCAGGGCAAAAGGAAATCCTCAAGCTTATTAAATTAAATTTAATTAATTAATTAATTAATTAGGTACTGGGGATTGAACCCAAGGGCCTTAACCACTGAGCCACATCCCCAGCCCTGTTTTGTATTTTATTTAGAGACAGGGTCTCACTGAGTTGCTTAGAGCCTCCCTAAATTGCTGAGGCTGGCTTGGACTCGTGATCCTCCTGCCTCAGCCTCTAGAGCTGCTGGGATTATAGGTGTGCACCACTGCACTTGGCCCCTAAACCTATTTTTAAGAGTACTCTTCCTGTTCCTAAGGGACTCACCTTCCAAAGGCCCCAACTGTCAATATTCTCACATTGGGGGGTTAACAAGTTATGAATTTGGGGAGGAACACAGTCACTCAGAAGACAGCAAAGGCAGAGGAAAAGAAGAAGCGAGAGTTTGAGCCTGAATCCAGCACCCACGTAGGCTCATGTGTGTGTGAATTTTCTCTCAACCATCTTGTTCCTACCAGAGTTGTTTCCTTAACCCTCCACCTAGTGAGTAGAACCTGCGTTCAAGTTTCCTATGTGACGTCTAGATGGGAAGGCAGAGGGTGCTGGAATAT